AAAAAAAAAAAAAAAGACTTAGGCATATGCTATCATTTATAATTACTCCAGGAGTTTGACACCCAAAACACAAAAAGAAAAAGAGATTAAACTAATTAAAAACTTATGTCTTAACACTTGACATTGATACCATGATACTGTTGTTTTTACACAGATCCACAAGAAACCCGCACCGTTCTTAAACATATTAAATATGAGATAATGCTCCCCTACCCACAGTGGACACATGTTAATATGTACACCGCTTATGTGACATGCACACATTGGTGATATATTTCTTGAACATATTAACATCATCAATGTGTGCATGTCACATAAGCGGTAGGCATATTAACATGTGCCCACCGTAGGTAGGTGATCATTACTCATTAAATATGTACTCAAAAAGTTCATTCACCTACAAAAGAGATTTAACAGCATAACTCTCACCATGTACATTGTCTTGATAAATACCCACAGAAAGTTCATTTTATTAGCCGTTAACTAAAATTGGGCTCGTCTTCCTTTTCCCATCACCAAAACTCGGAAGGCAACATTGTATAGCCTTAACCGACTCTTCATCAGCTATCATCAATTTATTTGGAGTTTTTTCAACCATAGATTTAGCTTCAACACTTTTGATTGTCTCGTGTTGGGCCAGCATATTGGTGACTTTGGCTTTCATATTTTCGAGGTCTGTTTCATTTTCCTCGTTCACGTAGTCCTGGCGGCGTAGGCTCTCTTTAAACAGTTCCGAGAGTCTCTTCTTTTTGTCTGGATTGAATGCTTCGGTTACATAATCGATTTCCTTTCCCATCAAGGAGGCATTATTTACCGTTGCATTGCCTATGAAGAATTTGTGGTGCACGGGAGTACTTCCGCGAGACGGAGTGAAATCTGCAATTTAAAAGGGTGGGAAAGGAAATTGCAAAAGACTCCGGTTATCTTTGGAAATTGCAAATAGCCCCTCTGTTAACCAATCAAATATCCCCTTCATGAGGTTGTAAACTTGACCTGTGTAAAACAGGATAATACAAGTATCCCATTGTGGATGCAATGCTAAATCGAAATAAATGCTCGAATAATAATAATTTTCAAGCATAACAAGATCTGTTTATAATTAGCCTAAAACTTCAAGTGTAGTTTATGTAATAAACCCATCAAATAATGTACCTCCCAAGTTTATTTTCAGTTCTTGGGTAGCGTGGAGCACCTAATCTCCACTCTGACAGTGATCCAATTAATGGAGTTTAAGTAATGCACTAAACAATGGCACTATTTAATCAGCAAAAGTTGCAGATTGAAGAAGAAAATCTGGGATCTTTAGGCCGTGTAGGGTGTAAGGTGGGAGAAAACGAGAATGACAGAACTTCAAACGATGTAGATTTTTTCTTACCACCATTGACACTCAAAAAGTCATCTTCACAGTCCGACTCAAGCCAAGGTTGAGAGTCAAAAAATGGTTCATCTTTGCTGACTGCAGGAATGGAAACACCTCAGATCAGAAACACGTATGAAAAGAAGCCTACGTAAAAAAGTAAAAAAATGACGTACAGAACGAGGTAGAAGGATTTCGAAATGATGAATTTGTTGTAATACACATGATTTAATCGGGCTAATAATTTATGTTTCAATTCATCGTCTATTAAAGTGTTCTAAACAAGCTCACTCAATTTGACAGATAAATGACATATTGAAGAATTTTCAAATATCAAGACCTTTGACATTATGAATTTATGATCAGCACATATTGCATAAAACTTAATTCACTTGCAGTAGACTCTGATGGTATATAACTATACACTAATTTGCTCCATGGCCCTCAATCTAACATATTTTTTTCAACCCATATTTGTGGTTTATAAAAAGAAAATAGACAATACATAAAACACAAGTTTGACCTAAAAACAATTTATCAAAAAATAAATAAAAAAAATGAGTGGCAATATGAATATAAAAACTTGTTAGTTAAATGTTTCATCTCCTTCTGCAATGTAGACAGAAAATCAAAATAATGCAGCCATAGTTATATGGTGCAGGACTAATTTATCAGATACAGCCGGTTGGACCATCGAAACAATTATGTAACATTATTAGATCAACAGCTAATTTCAAAAGCGATTTAAGGAACACTATTCAAAGACGAAAGCATTTGCATCAACTTTTTCACCAGAAATTTAAGGAACACTATTCAAAGACGAAGTCATTTGCATCAATTTTTCACCAGAAATTTAAGGAACACTATTCAAAGACGAAGGCATTTGCATCAATTTTTCACCAGAAATCAACGCATAAATAGTGAGCTGTACATTTGAACACTGAAATACATAATTTCACCAGCAAAGTATCAAATAAAATACCAAGAAAGTGATCAATTTTGGCAACTGTTAATATCTTTATTCCCCTCAATGCTACAAATGTACAAAAAAAATGGAAAACATAGAAAATTCAAATGCAATATTAAAATAAGGATACAATGTTACTATTAGACAAACCTAACTATCAACAGATGTGCACACATTCAAATTGGTGGTAAGTTATACGCTAAAATAACATGAACAAAAGTATTAAATTTCATAGCATAAGCATGTTTTTTTACTATATAAAAAAAAAAAATTAATATCCCCAGAAAATGGTTGAATGCCACTTAATCACCACTAAAGGAAAAGTATCACATAATGTCTCAATACACCATTTGTACATAACTATGAATAGTTCCATAAGCCGAGCCATCGGATGGATCCATAGCAAAATCGAATGTTAGAATACAGAGACAGGTAAACATACAAACTAAGAGGCAATTTTGCTGGTCTGTCCCAATAGAAAACTAACAATATTTACCAATGAAATTAATAATAACAAAAATCAACCATAGAAGAAAAGCTCGGTAATCCAATAATCCATACCAAAACAGAGAATTAAAAAAAAAAAAAAAAAAAGCCAGAAATTTTATACAGAAAAATTAGGCAGTATAACCCCAAACAAGGGAAAATAAGAAAAAGCACACCAACACACAGAGTCGGGCAAATTACCAGCGCCGCGAGAACGAGATGAGAATCCAGACTTGGCTGCCAAGTCATCAACGGTATGATCACCACCGCCGACCGAATCGACCTCTTGTTTGACGGCGGACGCCGTCGAGAGCTTCTCGTTCTTCGGCCCGTCTGATAAATGGAGGTCCACGGCCGCGGACTCCGGGTCGTTCTGAACCGAAACGCATGAGCCCATATTTTTTTGGAGATACTCTTCACAACTGTGTACTCCAAGTTTTCATAGGCAAAGAAGAGATAATTGTTTTGCTTCTCAATCGCTTTTGCAAGGAAAAAAAGAACAAAAAGAATCGCACAGAGAGAGAGAGAGAGAGTGTGTGTGTGTGTGTGTGTGTGTGTGAAGTAGATATATGAGGAGACGGGAAGAGATTTTGGGAAGACGGAATAATGGATTATTTTATTTAATGGTCGATGGACAATGGTAAAACACGTTCCTTTTCAAATACTATAAAATAAATAAATACGGTCAACTCAAATAATGTAATTTTGTAATTTGAAGTGATTATGATAATTTAATTAAAAATATATAGTACTACTATTAAATATATATATATAATATAATTACTAACTAATTACATTTAATAAAATCTATTTAATTTTATCTATATGGCAATTTAATCATTTTCCCTCCAAAAACCGTTAATTTTTGATGTATTTAATCTTTCATTTAATTATTAAATAATCAACACTAATCACTTCAAAATTACAAATATCATTTTAAACTTTTGATTACTGACAGTTGACCATATAATGTGTTGACCGTATAATGTGATTAGATGTTATTATTGTGGTTACATTTAAATTATTTTTTAAAATAAAAAATGTATTTGAAATTCCTAAATAAATAATAAACTATTCACAAAAAAAGACATTCAAAATAAACATTACATCCAATCAGATAAACACAATTTTAAAAATAAATATTCTAACTTCTTTAATTGTAAATTTGGCCAGCAAAAAGGTGAAAAAAATAATTAATCATTATATACATACAAATAATTCACAATACTTTATTTACGTTTGTGCAATGCACATGATCGAATACT